TATGACCACAATACCCTGACTATCGTCCCATTTGCTATGTATCCGTGGCGTCAATCTCAACCAGTCGGACGTACATACCCCTCGACATAGTCCGACCCAAAGATCTGTGTGGACACGTTAGTGTGTGTCTCTGTGTATCGCCCTATCATGCGGACCACTAAACATCAATCATATTGACTTCTACATCCCGTCGAAGATATCCTAGTCTGATTTGCTCTGTCAGTCGCAGATCCAGATATCCACCCCCTATACTAGTGCACGTCACTCAACTGTAGCTTCACTACTCACCCTCCATGCAACTCTATAGACCCTGTCCGTGAACGCGCTGTGTGTACTACCTTCTGTGTCATGAATCGTCAATTGTGTGACCTACATGTCTGTCTTAACCTCTACAGACAACCTTTGCTGTAGATCTCGACATGATCCTCTCGACCCAGCTACCGCCACGTTGTACTCTCCCACGCCTCCTCCGGCCTACACCCTATGTTATGATCCCCCACGCCTACGGTCGCGCCCGTCCTAGCAGTTACTGTTGCTGCAGTCGTCTCTCTCGAGCTCACGCTTCTTAGGATGAGTAAGTGTTTATGTCTCTCCTCACGAAATTCGACTCAATGCTCATGCTTCTGCTGTCTGTATAGACCTCGTTCTCTAACACTCTGAGAGCGCAAGAGGACCCGCTGTTCCTGCATAGTGATTATGCTTAATGTCCTCGCTAACTAGGCGCTCTTCACCCTCTTTATTAGATGTCGCGAGTTTTGTTGGTAATCTATCGTCTACACTGTACATTACCGTGACACTCCGTCTTCCACTACCTCGCTGTGTCTCTCTCACTCGCAACGTCTGAACGGTGGTCGGTATAGACTACATAACGTCCACTCCTCCCGTTCCTGTCGATTGGAGCACTCAGATCAGTATCGTAAGTCTTCACCCCTCTCTTGTGCTTGATACCCTCTCCGAGTAACTCTGTTCGCCCTCCAACCCCTAGACAAGTGTCACTCCTCATCTTCTTCAGTTAAGATTATCATGCGCTTACTCTGTCGCGTGGTGAATCTAAATGCCGTGACTTGTAGTAGTTGACGTTCAGTAACTCTCTATTGTGTATCCATGAATATTCACTCTATGATAACCGTTAATACTCTCGTCGCACGATGTAACATCATAGTTAATCGATCACAGCTGTGTGTGTTACCTCCATATCGTTATCCTCGTCGTACTGTACGCCTGCCATGACTCCTCCTCATCATATAATAGTGCCTCAGATCTGCAGAGCTCTCTACACTCCTATCAGCGTTCGTCTAGAGCTGCGCCTCTCGTCCTTTAAACAGGTAGTCATCATATGTCGCCTCATGAGTCTCTCGGTTCATCGACTAACTGCAACTGCTTCGTGTGAGGCAGCTTTCTCTACTTGTAACCTGTAAATAGGTGTTAGCATTTGTGTCTTCGCTTCTTCTTCCATATATGTATCACCAGTGTTAGCGATGTGATATTCATTGTACTAACTCTCTACCGTAAGCAGATAGCGATCTATAGAATCTCTCACGCTACGGTGATCGACGGGATATTGTTTACAGAGTGATCATCCCTGATGATCTAGGGTCTCACCTGCCTTCTAGCGTGACCAGTGGGTAGTGCGTGTGCCCTAATGATCATCTCGCTGCTCAGCGCGTTCGACTCTCCACCTCTGAGACCACGACACCTATATTCTTATCGCTCACAGGGAGTTAGACACGGCCTCTAGCCGTATGCTCCGTCCACGCCCCACGAGTGGCGCCACTCGAACTATGCTATTGGATCGTCGTTCCTCTGTTCTCTCGAATGTGTCACGACTGGTCTGGATCTGTGACTGTCCATCTTAGACACACATTCCCGATCCGCAGTCCACCCAAGTGCACCGATATAATGTGTGACCGTATGTCTGTGTCGTCTCGCTCGCACCGACCCACTCTCTTGTATTAGGAGTTGGTCTTCTTAGACTAGGGCTCGATCGAGCTGCCACGTCATCTTAATTCTACCAGTGAGGGCGCACCGTGCAAATCGATGCATACATGCACTCTGTACTAGCGGTCCCGTAGTGGATGCGTGTGCTGAGACGTCCTTCACCTCCACCCTTCAGCGTTTGGCCCACCACGCTCCGTCTCTGTCCCGATTCCTCGCCAGACATCCTAGTGGGAGACCTAGAATGCTTCAGCTAGACTCTATCTATCGCTCTACGTTGTGTGGCATATCTTATCTAGTTGCGCGTCAAAGCATAAGCCTAGGCCACCTAGTGCTTCGTGATACCGGTGCCACAGTTTTGTGTACCACATCATAGTGTCTATCCCACGCTCGTCGCATATGTTAGTCGAGGTTCTCACCTCTGAGTGAATTTGATGCTGTCCTTTCGTTTCTCTCTCCACGCCGAACGACTCTCGTAATACAATTGTGTAACCATATTACGCGCCTCCCTAGTTGAACAAGGTGGAGCTAGATCCAACTCACCTATGTTACCTGCCGTATTCTGATAACCGTCTGTAGCCTTTTAGATAATGTACTTGCGTATCTCGTGAGAAGGATGCCTCTCCAAGTAAGTCTGACTCTGACCAGTTTTGCGAACTTACGCGCGCTAGCTAGGTTTTGCGCGACTCATGATATTAGATGTACAATATAGAGATAGTGTTAAATCCTTCATCTCGTCTTGTGAGGTTCTGTGGATTCTGCATGTTATTAATGGATCTCACTCTCTCGCTCACTTAGATGTTGCTCTACCACGTTTGGTGCGCGTAGACTCTAAGCGTGTCAAGGCATAAATGGCGACTTACGTGAGACTGCGAGAGCCGGGACACACTCGTGAGACAAAGGTCCATACCAAGGCATATACGATCCGGATTCTAGAAAGAGGGTTAGCCATGTTTTGTGAGAGTGTGGTGATTTACGCTTAGACCTAGCTCAAGGACGGTCGTCTGGGTATAGTTTGCCGTCCCATGCATCAATACTGAGTCCCTGCCTTCGCTCACCACATAAGAGCACGACGCAAAAGGTTAAAAGAGTTTCACACTATTATGTACAAAACGGATGGAACATATGTTTATGCCATGTTCCGAGCCAGGCAACTTCCTAGCAGGTTCCCAAGTAAGACTGCTGCTGCCATGCTGTGAGATACCTTCTCCTACGTCATCGCCCGCCATTTTGGTGCCCCCTAGCGTTTGTGACAAGGTTCCGACATCAACCGCTTTTTTATTCACAAACTTCATCCCGGAACCTCACGTGCACCTAGAATAGAATAGACGACCTACTCCCCGATACGATCGAATATGTAGTGCCCTAGAGACTCTCACTGCAAGTGCAGAGTGTACGTACGATTTTATCATCTGGGAGTTGACGCCTCCCTAGCGCCTCTGGTGTTTACCTGTCGTAGTCATTGATACTTTAGAGCCAGATTGAAGTTCTATCTCATGGCTCGAGGATCGAGATCCATCTAATCTAGTGAAGTCGCTCCACTCGTAATTGTCCGCCATGTTCGATCCCGCTTATCTGGCTCCGGTTGATTGTCTCTGCACTACTGTGATTCGTCAGGGCACGCCACCAGTGTTTAGCACGCCATCCGTCGAAAGCTCGATATACTACTCTCCTCCCTCTCACAAGAGTATCATGTGCGTCCGTCTGTCGCGGTGCGTGCATTGCCAGTAATATCATAATGCGTCCTCCCAGCCACTACCGAACAGTAAAACTAGTGCATCTACTCGTGCAGAGTTGTGTCGTTTTTACGTCGAGCCTGTCCACTGCAGGTAGCATACTCGCCCATGTCTTATTACTCGGTGACTCACACCTGTGGCCCGTTTTTAAGGAATATTTGCCTCCACCATGTTTTTTTACTTGTATTCATAGGTTGAGAAGGTTAGAGCTCTGTAAGCCTCTATCGAACACGCCCTTACTCCTTGATGATCTCTCGACCCTACACACTGCCTACACCCGTGTCAGATCGCAATCCCCACCCCTCAGTGTGTTTCTCGTGTCGACCTCCTACATTGCCCTGTATTTTCCCACAACATCCCCCAATCCTACTCCCACACCCCCTTTCCCTTCCAGCAGTGTGCCCTTTGCCGCACATGGGTCCCTGTCGGGCACGATCCGCGATATCGCGGATTGGCACGTTCAGCGCACAGTGTTCCATTGTCGTCATGACGTCCAGATGCACTCTCATCCTCTATCTCGGCAGGACTCTTCGTCTTGACTATCTAAGCGGGGGCAACGATCGACGTACACAACGGTTTCGGCGGTGACCTCCTAGTCACGCCCTCTCCGTTAACGAGACTTCGGTTGTCCTGACCACCTGCAGACAGACTGTTTCTAAACATGTGTGACTGTTCCTTCTTGCTCCGCCAGCTGCCATTATACAGAAGGCTCCTCCAGGTAGCAGGTGACCCCCCTCTCGAATCATGATCGCGTTGTAGCCGCTGATGTGTCTTGAAGAACATCCCTGTGACGGGTTGTGACTTAGTCTGTCGGTCATGTACTTTTCCTCTAGCATATGTAGGATCTTAATTTATATAGCTGTTACGTGTTTGGTAACTAACTATTAAGTACTAGACGTGAGTTCTTTCTGGTGTGCTAGTCAGCTGGTGCTTAGATGCTGAACCCGCGCTAGCTCATTCATCGAGCGTGTAGAGTGTTTGTGAACATACGAGGAGCATGTTCTAGCTGAACTGGCCGTCGCCTGTTTTCGCGGCGTAGATTAATACTTTCGCTGCTCTCTATATAAACACAATTTACCGTTACTGGCTGTTGCTCACGGGCGTTGAGATGTGGCCCTCTCACATCGCCACAGAGTGCGCCAGATATGAAGTGAGCTCTCATGCATAGGTCATTTCCGGGTAAACCCCCCTACCCCGTACCTGCCTGGTTCTCCGACCGCCTACGGGTGATCCTTTCGGTAGATAAGGGGCTCATACTCTTTGACTACGACTCTATTGACTGCGGAGCGCGCCTACTCCAACGCACGAGATCGCGTGTCATGGCGCGCACTACTCTAACTCATGAGCGTTCGGCGCCGCACAGGCTGGGGCCGCCACTCTGATAGCTGCTAGGTCTACCGGTGCTATCTCCCGTCCGGTCAGGGGGTCTAAGGACAGCGAGCTACAGAGGGGCTCCAAGGAGGCACAAAGAGTGCGCCTCTCCCTGACCTCCGCTCGCTCCTCTATAGAGGCAGAATCCCTCTTTACCGCACCGGTCTGCCCCGCTTGTTGTATCTCATCTGGGCACGGCTGCGAACATACTCGGAGCACGGTCACGCGCGCGGCCCGCCTGGCCGTTCGGGGCAGCCTCCTTCGGCTCGTCCATAGTATCGGGGCGGACCTCTCTGGGTCCGGTCCCTCCGCGACCGTGTGTCCCAGTACATGTTAGAGCTCGCGACGGTCTACGGACGGGTGGTCTATAATCTAGCCGGCGGTGTCTGTGCTGAGCATAATCCGGGTGCCGGATGACGAACCGCTTCCTCAGCAGAACGCTGAATTACGCGATTTTCTGTTTGTTTCTCACCTACAAGGTCTATCGTGATCGTATCTCGTGGACTTTCTACGCTGTGCGACATCCACCACATTTGGCATAGGACATCATGAGGCTACTCCACAAGCGGGGGAAGGACACCGCCGTTATTGTCAGCATCTCAAGAAGCCCACCCCAAGTGGGCGACACTAGGCGGAGTGATTGTTCTCGTACATAGATATGACACGACTCGACTCCGCAATCGCCTGTTACAGACGGCATCTGGCTCGACCGTGAGGCTAAATACCCTATCTATGGATATGAGTTAGCTCATATAGCTCACCCGCGGGAACGTGCGGCAACTGCTATTCACGCTTTACTGATCCTCCGCGACTCGTGCGACCGCAGCTATATAAGAACCAGCGTTAACCTCCAGTAGCAACAGGTAGTCGTGTATAATATGTACTTGCACAGCCTATACACACGGGCGTCTGGAACATACCGTGTACGTCGCCACGTAGTTCTCCTTCACGCACGCTGACGATGGATGGAACCAACTTGGCGCCTGAACTCTGGAGTACACACCACAACGTCTGTTCGCGTTGTCCAGGAAGTGGGTCTCCGGATCATTGGATCATCTGCTCGCTGCTCAGGTCGCCCGACGCTCCGCCTAGAGTTCACACCAGGTGTCTCAACACGGGGAAGCAGCTGTTAGTTCGAGCGCGAATAAGCCGGCGTCGCCTAGGCTCTAAGGCAGGTGTAGCTACACACGTCTGCCCCACAGCACAACGCCCTCACCGCTCGGCTGGATAGACTGTATGCACAACGAGGTGATGTGTGACATGTCTGCTGTTTTGTTCTGACCTATATGTCGTCGCGTGGGGCGGATAGGTGCGTGATGAGACTCACTCCTGTGCCTTATGCACGCTACTCGAGCACTTTTGGCTCTCTTGTGAGGTGGGGCGTGAGACCAGCTTACTCGTTTCGTGGCTGTGAATTTGTCTCACCCTCCGTTTTACGTCACTACGCAGAGCGTGGACAGGGCCTCCCTTTCAGTGGTCAAGTCGTCGTCTTTCACACCGGTCTCCCTGTGATAAGAGAACTATATGGTTGTAGCGATGCGCGCGCTACTCTCAGAGAGGGGCCCAGCAGTCCCTGGAGTGCATAGACTGGTATGCTTCGTCACAAGTGTCTCCAGCAGGTAGTTGACTGGTGTCGATGGAGCGTAGACCGTCTATGTGTGTCCGGTACTCGCTAGAGCACGAGCCTCCGAGAGTAAGAACGCTACAGTGTGGGGTACTCTCCGAGAGGACCGGGGCGCTACCCAGCATTGCAACAGTTTGGTGCCGGCAGTGCGTATGTGTTACGGCGTAGTACCGCTACGTAGAGAACAGCGCTCATCCATCCGCGATCGAAACAAGATGGCGCAGGGAACACTGATATGTGTCACCTCCGTCCGCGTGAAATGTAGAGCCGCGCGAGTGGGTGCGGCTCGCCTCCAGAGGATGTAGCTAGATCGTCTGATCGTCGATGTCTGCCACTTGGGGCTAAAGAGTTCGCGCACACAGAGATTCAGCCGTGCTCTACCCCGCGTAATAGTGGCGTTATCCTTTGAGGATGGGTGAAGCCAGAGGCGGTAGTTAGAGAGAGACCACCTTCTGAGAGAGTAATCTTACGTTTCCGTCATGTGGAGCAGGGGCTACCTTAGTGCTGCTGCTCACCAGGGTAGCCGCTAACTGGTGCGCGCTGCAGCTCGTCTAATCGCGCTATATTCACTCTATTGTAGCAGTGGAGCTGAGTACTGGACCTAGCGGGTATCATCTGTAAGTGCGGGGACTCTTGGACCGCCAGAACCGTGCTCTCCTTATCGCGTGGCCCGAGGGTTAATGTTGATTCCGTCTGTCGCGCTCCGCGGCGTACTAGATGTGCACTCACGGTACTAGTTGTTGTCACTCCTGGACGAGTCATTATGATCTCGAAGCCAGACCTGAGGATAGATAGAACGCTGAAGAGCTGATGTGGCTGTGCCTGTCTCCGCAGTAGCTCTTTTCCCTGTTCACCCCGGTGTGAATGCTGCTAGACGAGTACGCTGGGTGTTGTGTAGTGTTGGGACAGGCAGGTCCAGCCAGAGCATGCTGTATGGATTCCTCTGACTAGGGGCCTATATCTGTTCTGTTGAGAGAGTAGCGCGCTAGACTTACCCGCTAATCGTCGGTGTCGAGCGTGCAGAGTGAGTATAGATTTCTCTTTTACTCACTCGCTTTTCCCGCGATGTGCGCTGTTCATCGCGCGATCGGCGTTGTTGGTCCAATAGTGAGTCCGAGGCTCGACGGTACGAGTCGCTGTAAGCCGAGAGGGAGTCTGAGTGTTGGTGGCTAGCTACGTTACGTACAGAGAATACTTCTCTCTCCCCCTGCGACCTCGGCCGCACACCTCCTGTTGTATGTTGTCCGCGTGTGAGACTGTGACTAGAGAAGAGTCGCGCACTTTGGCAGAGTGAGTGTTCGACATCTGTCTCTATTGTGTCAGGGTTCTCACTTTCTCGGGAGTGGACATCCAATTGTGTTCTGTTGTCTCTGATCGAATTGCTACTCGAGGAGCTGCTTAGTGAGAGGATATTGCATATCGTAGACCGCGAAAACTGGCCCGTATTGGAAATGCACTCGCTTCACACACGGCGCGACAGTCTATACGCCGCGGCAACGGTTGAGCGTACTAGTCTAGTTCCCGCGGTACTCTGGACTGAGTACTTGTTCGGCAGCTAGATGAATCGCTTCAATAGAGTGCGTGTGTAGTACAGCCCCCGTGTACTTCCAGTGGTAGCGTCTTGGCGTCCTGGGAGAGTGACACGTTATCTCACGCACCACTGCCGCGCCTTCGAAGGAACTTACAGTGGTACTTATTGTAGTGGTACTTACCTGCTCAGCAGAGAGGAGGTACGCTGCCTCCGGAATGGCTCATTGCGTCTTTTCGAGGCCGTTGCTGCCCGGTGCGACACGCACTTGCAGCCTCATCGTGGTGTACTTGATGTGAGGCGGTGGTCCGTGTTCCGAGAGAGACATGCCGCTAGCTGCCGTTTTTAATCTGCTTGGTACATACAGTGGTACTTAGGTACATCTGTAGCGTGCAATGTTTTCTCCCGCATAGATCTGGTGCTCCAGACCTCAGACTATCTCTCTTCACCCTCCGATGCCGTGTGTTGCAACGTTTATCTGTTGGTGAGGAGCGGGACGACTGGCAGAGAGTCTGCAGCTACACTGTCTGACACGGATCCGCGAACTTATTGTGGTCCGTTAGCCCCGCTTCTCTCAATACTGGTTTCTGACCCATTACCTGTCTCTGGGGAGTTTTGGTTACATACTAGCTGTCCTGAGAGACGTATCGGCCCTTCGGTGTAGACGCATTTTCGCCTATTCGACCCCCCTATATCTCGTTACTTACCGAGGGGTGTACTTTAACCCCTGTTTGTTTGCTCTGTTCCACTTTCGTCCTACGTCAGGTCCCTCGCTCGTCTGCCGTCTGTGTCTCACCCATCTTCTCCACGCTATGGTCCTATATTGTTGATCTCATTCTATATTCCAGCTGTCCCCTTCTTCAGTTGTCTCTCATGCGGCAAGCTCGACTTTGCTGCCACTCTCTTCCCTCTCCCTATGTCGTCATCAGTGTTGCCGGAGTCTTGGGTTCTTTGCCTAGATACGATCTATCACACGAACACTCATGCGTGCTCCTCACTCCGTTACCATGTGTGTAACAGGCGTACGTTTTATGCCTCTACACCCCTTTTCACTACGAAATCCGTTTCTAGCTACTGTGCTTGAATCGAAGCTGCTCGGATATCGCCCTTTGCTATTCTATGTCTCAGTTGCTACACGGGCATCCGACTGCGCTCATGGTATTTTCAAAGGCAGTTCTCGGTGCACTCTTCCTTCCCTCTGTCCTTATCACTTAGTCTCACTCTCCTCTATACCCTATGCTAGTTGTCACCTCCATTAGGTCCTCTCGGGTATTTCGTTCCCTCCTTTCGCCTCCCTTTTCGTTGCAGTCTTGCCCTCTTACCCTCCTCTGGTTAGCGCTCGCCCCCGCTCTGAGTCGGACAGCTACCAATGCACACCCCCCGTGTAGACACCACCTAGTATTGTCAGAGTACCCCGCCACACCACACGCACGGTTGCAGACTCTGACGACCGAGTCCTCCGCCCTAGGTACCTACCACTCCGTTTCCCTTGTTGTTGTTGTCCGCCCCGTCCAAGTATACTTTATGGTTCTCCGAGTCGCTAGGTGTGTCTACAGCATCTGGTAACGCCTTTTTGATGCTGCAATTGCTTTGTCAAACCCTCAGTTGTCTACTGTACCACCCTGTCCCTGCCTCCCGAGTTGACTGCGGTTAGCCGGTTGCGAACGGACAAGCTTGCTTGACACCAGGATGGACGCTCTATGCCGTCTAGAAGCACATATTGGACGACCTAATTCGTTGTATGCGTTAGGGTTCTCTACCTGCGTCGTAGACTCTTCCGTCAGTGAGCCCATCCCTTGCCTGTACACTCCTTGATTCCTAGTTCCTCCACGATTGCCCCAGTCAGTCCCTCGTCATGACCAGTGGCCCAGGTGCCCCTGCGCGCGCCTATCGCGCTGTACAACTCCCTGGCCGTACCCATCAAGCATTCGCGGCGATGTGCATCTCCACCTCACGCTCCCTCCTCTGCGTTTAGCCAACTCTCAGTGTGTTGCCATGTGTTGCAACTACCTCACGTTCCGAGTTGTGCTCCTCGTGGTGCGCGCGTGCGCTTCACATGGTGATCTTTGGGATACGACGTCTGCCGCGTCGTTAGCCTGCCACACAGGATTTAACTACCATGTGGGTCGACGCATCCAGGCACCATACCGCGACAGCTGTCGCCTCACGACCACGGAGACCAGAGTACTTGTACGCCATAGCAGAGCACGCTCCGGCCACGCGTTTGTGTTACCCCGATCGTGACCCAGCGTCCTGTACGTTAACCTCCTACTCGCTGCGGCGATTAGGGCAAGGGGCGCGCTACGTGAGTCTGCTCCATGCGTTGAGCTTGTGCAGTGACTATAGCAGCAATTGCTTGCGCGCTATCACACCACTGCTTCCTTCATACCTGACCTCCTCGCTCCACATCGCTTCCTCACCCGGCACCACGCAAGTACCACTGTCCCCCTTACCCCCCCCCCCCCCCCCCCCCACTCCTCCCCCCCGCGACCCCACCGCACCCTCCCCACCCGCCTCCCACCACCTGCGCTCACCACTCTGGACTCGCCACTCCGCCCCCCCCCCTCCCCACCGTCCCCACCACACCCCCCCTCCGCCGCCTCCCCCCCCCACCCCCCCCCCCTCTCCCGGCCCCTCCCGCCCCCCCCCTACCCCCCCCCCCCCCCTCGCTCCTCTCACCCCGCGCCTCTCTTCCCGCGCACCCTCGGCACTCCACTCGCTCTCACCGCGCCTTCACCTCTCCCCGCGCACTCTCGCACACGTACCAGGTACTTGGCAGCAATTTTACCAGGTACTTGGCAGCTATGAGCTGATTGGCCAGGTTAGGTTGGACGACAGAAGGAGTCCGCTGGTGTGTGCTGACGAGGAACTAGCTAGATCTGGTGTGTGTGTGATGAAGCTAAGATACCTTGGTCTGCATCAGGCGGTTTGTATCCTGCGCGAGACACGCCATAATTCTTCCGAAAGCCCCCACCCACTTAGCCAGATGAGCACGAGTGAGTGGGCCTGGGCGCCACTCGGCGCCTGACATAGGCCAGCCAGTAGGCAAGCGGCCGTGTGTGTCACTATCGCTCCTCTAGAGACTCGAGGTTGAGCGTCGCTCGGCGCGACTCGCGTGGCATCTGTAGTCTACCCATACGCGAGGGACGCTCCCCCTCGAGGCGCGGCGAGACTGTACTCCCCTGTTGATATATCTAGTGTGTTACTGTCGTACTGTGTCTACAACGAAGTATAGCTAGCGATACGGCGGGGTGCTTCAGTACACTAGTTCAGGATCTGCGCGTGTGTGACTCCAGGTGATACTCCTCGCGATGAGAGCACCAGCGAGACCCGCCTGCATCAGAATGTGTGATACAGACGCTGATATCCCTCTATAGCTCGCCGAACCCGTGCGTGTGGAGCAGACCGCGTTCGCGTCGCATCTATGGGGTTACTGCTCGCGAGTCGCAAGCTCAATAGTGTCATAATCTTACAATCGTGAACAACCCGGGCATCGACGATCACATTCCTCTTTGACACTCACTTCGTACCACGCTCGCATATATTACGCTATACACATAGATGAACACTCCCTGTGTGGACGTAAGTTGTGACTCGCAGCGTGTGACAGCGTCTCCACCCCGTTGTATCGATGACAATCCTGCGTTCCTTCCGTACTCCCCTTCTGTCTCACTCGCCCTCTTTCGTGGCACCTCATTGACTAGTCCTCTCCGCTCACCATTACTCATAGCTTATTCGACCAATCCTAGAATCGCACTCGAGATTAACCGTGCCCTTGCGACTACGAACACACTCTCCTAGACTTCCAGACCCCTTACCACCTTACCCTCACGAGATGACACCAGCCGGTCACTCATGTCCGTGGAGATGGTGCTGCGCAACACGGTCAAAACTCTCAATTGTGCTCCACTTTTGTTCTAGTCTGAACACCATACCTCTCCGCTCGATCGTGCACATCACCCCCCTCAAATTCATATTGACCAATGGGAGCTGTGTTTAGGTATAGCCCCACTGGATGCATAGTTAGACCCTCCTCAGTGATCGGTGTCCTCGCGTCCACACTTTCTCTCTATACGACACCCCCTGTGTGATTAATTTCACATAACAGTCTCACCGCTTGCTATTTGATCTCCCACCGTCTCTGTTCTCTCTCAGAGTGACTCATAGTCGTGCATTCGCAGTCCCTTGTCCCAGAACGTGTCGAAATCAGTACCACTGATTAGCTACCCCACCTGGATCATACCCGTGTCAAGTGCCTGCGCCAGTAGATAGGGACTATCGTTGTCAGAGCTAATGTATGTCCAGCGGTGAGTCCAAGGCTAGACCGGAGAGCTCTCTATGACATCTGAAGAGCTGCCTCTTGCACATATTGCGTCCTCGTGAGGGTGAGATGTTGCGTCTAGCGGCTATCTGCTGCCTCCTACTCGTTGCCTTGTCCCTCCTTTAACGCTCTGCCTGTGGGTACCTCCAGCTGTTCTTGAGCTCACTCCGAGCATAATCACTCTCACCTCTCGGATTCCAGAGGGTGAGCTATGGGTGTCAAGGCGCCTCGGTCATCTCTAAGAAGTAGTCACGCGCTGGATGTCGCCAGTATATAGTGTTAGACGCTGATTCTTAGCCGGCTCACTCACTTGGACCCGAGCGAGAATCTACGTTGGCACGGTGTCACCAAGTGGTGGATCGAGAGCTCCTAGTATTCTGCTGTGTCGCTTGCCAGTCCATCTTGTGTGAGTGTTTCGACTCACCTACACGACGGATGCGAATAGAGCGATCTCACACTCTTCGGGACGCTGGTTTTCGATCAAAGGTATGAGTATGGCGAGGAGGTCGCCTGTTCGAGCCAAGCAAGACTTTGCTGTTAGCTTATGGCCTCAGGTTGTTGCGTAATTTTCCAACGTGTGGAGACGCATGATGAGCTGTGTCGCCTCTCTCAGTGATTATCCTCACTGATCACTCAACTGAATGAGAGCGCGAGCAAGCTGCCCCACATCGGCGCTCGCCTGACCATCCGGCGCGGCTGGCTGACTGAATCTATGCGCCCAGTGTAGACGTCATAGCCCGTGCTGCGCCGGGCAGACCGCGTGAATGGGGTCCTCTGGCTCGCAGCCCTATTATCCCAACACTGGACACTATAGTATGCTAGGCTGTCCTCTCACATCCGAGATCCCTGACAATATCAATATCCTCAGGCCACGTGATGGGGATTCTCCCTCGGTTATGTACCCCGTCGTCTGTGTGTCTCGTGTCGCCCTATGTATTGGCACTCTGCCTCGCACTCTCTCTGGTGTGCACGCATGTGACCTATCTTTCTCAGAGCGGTGTCGAAACTCGCACTCTTATTACCTCTTTCTACCTCTGTTCTCTTGCAGGGCTCATGCGCGACATCGATCAGCACCAGGGGATGCGGGGTGTCACGGATGCCAGCTTGAGGTAGGCGTAGGCTCGCATGAGCTCTAGTGAGCTCTTTCGCACTGCCTCGGGGGGCGCCCCACTCTGCTCTTGTCATGACCATCGCGCTATGAAGGCTGGGGGGCATCGACTAATGTCTCTACCAGATGCAACGTTTGTAGGCAGAGAGAGTGCTGGCCAGGCAGGTGTCCGTGCACGGCACCCGCTCTTCCAGTGCGTGAGGTTTAGATGTGCCGACCACACACTTCTCTCGTGCGTTCTTGTTGTATGTCTCGATCCAGCCAGAATTAGACACGAGAGTGTGCTCTCACTAGTGCTCCGGAATTCTGTCTCCACCCTACATATACTAACCGAGGTGATCCCCCGCTCTAAGGTGGCACCGTCTGTCCCGCGAGTCTACGGCGCCGTGCCGTTTGTGCAATGCACTCGCTATATCTGTGATGGCCTCAATTATGCTTGGTCTAGCGTGGGTCGTTCCTGCTTTTGCTGGACTCTGGTATGTCAGCCACCTTCAGGGGCTCTCAAGCTAAGGGTCGCGCTGTGTGCTCAGGTCGTGAGCTTTCTAGATAACTCCTATTGCAGCGTGTCGTGAAGTTGTGCTATACTTCACTCACACGGAACATCGGCGTGAGGCGATTGTGTCACACGGTTGTTGTAGGTCCCTCTGGCAAGATAGAGAGGTTTCAGAGATCAGATCCGCATACCGGTGGTTCCCCTTCCTGAGGGGGAAGGACATGGAGTGAGACTCGGATGACCGATCGGAAGCTACATATGATTATCGCGCACAGGACTGTGCCAGCTTTTTACAACTCCTAAGGTTCATGTTTCCTGTGCTCTTAACCCTCTTACCTTTGTCAGTGGACACACTCGATAGCACACTCAGTGAGAAGGTCCGTGCGGTTTGTAGCTCACTGCACATTTACGCGATAAGAGCAGGAGATGGCGGACGTTCCCACGCTGTACGTTGTGACTGTTCTTTTTCGTGGTGCCTCATGTGAGGTGTTCTGGGCACTGTACCTAGGCTCTCTGTGGTGTAGAGTCTCGGGCAAGGGACATGTGTGATTGTAGACACAACCTGCGAGACCACACTATCATCGTTTGCGCACCTGTGTGTCTATTCCAATCTGCGCTCGCGCTCTGGTAGTTGTGTTAGAGTTGTGCTATCGCGTGTGTTCGCGCCAGCTTCTCTAGTGTTGTTTGCAGGGTCATTAGTGACCGATGGAGGCGACGCCCCGCTGAGCTGTGAAGCAGCTCGTTATGATCGGAGCGACACTGTACGGATTGTTGAGAACGTGTCGCCTGGGTAGCTCGGTGTTCATTGGCGCTGCGGTTCCGTTCACTCCATTTGCGACCCGATCCCAGTGCGGACGTGTGTGTTCTCTCCGCTACGAGCAAGACTGGAGCGTCCACCGTCTGGGGAGAGAGAGACTTGAGCTCCAGGTGGCGTGTAACGATTTGATACAGATGCGTTGCTCCATAGGCAAGTGGGTTTTTTATGTGTCGCACGTCCCTAATCCTCGCGTGTTCTGTGTTGCGGTGCCTACTCACGCTCGCAGGCTCTAGACTAGTCTGTGATCATTCGGTAGCTGGTTCTGCTACTAGCGAGCTTCGAGCCGGAGTGCATCTGCTCCAGTGAGGTGACCCCTGTGCTAAAGAGTGTACAAGTGCTACGGGAAGGAGGCCACACAGCACTCGCTGTCTCGTACGCTAGGCGCGCTGTATCGACGTTGTCAGAATACGGTCGGAGTTCTGTGGCTAGAGTGTGCGTTCGCGCGTGTCTGCGTGCGCGAGATCAGAGTGCAGGATCCTACTACCGACTCCTGCGCAGCAGGACGCTAAATGCGTCGCTCGTTCTAGCGCTTGTTGTTTGAGATACACTCTACGTGCGTGGCTTCAACGTAGGAGGGTCTGCGATCCGGGCTGGATCTCAATTGCCTTTTGTTGATACCTAGAGAGAGGCCTGTGTCAAGTGCTGATGAGTGTATCTTTCCGTGTTTACATTGTGTGTCAGACCTATTGTGTATCGCATAGAAGAGCCTTTAGCAGAAGTTGTTGCTGTCGGCGAAGAGTAGTGGTAGTGTAGTAGTAGGGCTAGCGTGATCACTCGCGGGTTGGCGGGGCGTCTCTGCGCGCCTGAGTCGTCTCAGTGCTTAGTGAAGGGCCGCGCGACCACAGTTTGGAGAGGATCACGCGCGCCGAATGCAGATAGGATAAGTGAGCGATGCTGCACCTCGTAGTTATGTGCAATCCGGGATAGTCGCGCGCTGTGTGCTATCTTTAGTACATCATCTGTCTAATGAGAGAGAGTACGTCTCGTCGCGTGTCCTTTCGCCGGGCCTGCCGATGAGAGGTGGTATCGCATTGGATGAGAGTCTTGTTAGATGTCTTGTCGCCTCGCCATCTCGCGGTGCGCTCTCCAGTCCCCACAATTGTAGCGGGTGAGCGAGGCACGCGCGCCTGAGCGTATGCTGTGTGTGAGTAGCGCGCAAGAGCTAATGAAGTGCGACCGAGGGTGCTATCTTCTACTGGCCGTAGTCGTGTGGAGCGTGCATGTTCGATGGGCCTTAGCTGTGTTGGGTGTAGCACTGTTGTGTGTGGAGCGTGGGCCCACTGTGACGAAACAGCGGTGAGCACTGTGCTAGCGCTGAGAACGGTCCTCCGCGACGTGTTGCGATCATTTGGTGTCGCTTTCTAGTCGGTCTGTGTATAGTGTGCGGATAGTGTATGCTCTTGTGACGAAAACTCACTAGATGTGGAGATAGGCCCTTATGGTACTCAAGCTCTTGTTAAAAATGGGATTTAGTTGTGTTATTGTGATATGGAAGAAATGTAAAAGTAATGTACATTTGTCTGATGATGGCAAATGAGGAAGAATCATTCCTCTTGAAGTAAACGCTGCTCAAGCATTGTGCTCTTGTCTGTCGTTTTATCACGGTGTTACTTCACGCGGAGGCATATGCCTCTGACCGCTAGTCAGAGGAGGAAAACACCGACAGTAACTATGATGGTACCAAACGCACATGATATGAGAGCATAAACGAATTGTCTATGTAGCAACGCACATAATATTACTATAGTAGTAGGGTACCAACTGGGCATTCAGTCTGTATGTTTGAATGACGTGTGTGAATGTGGGGGCGGAGCTCCAATCAGCGCGTTCTGTCATTTGTTGCTAATGCAAACTTTCTACAAAAAACTTGATCAGATTAACAATATTAAATATTTATATGCTAATAAAGTCGAGGTTGTTAACACATGTTCTGCTTTTATTATCAGGTCGAGAGAACAACAACAATGAGCACACCCTTCGCTGGCCTGCTGGGAGTACATGTTCCTACGGCCTCCGCGTTGTGTCCCACTAGCGAAGTCCTAAGGGACGTAGCACCATGACGTAGAATTAATAGTTACCTAATGTAACTTAAGTTCTACGAATAGGTGCGTAGTCCCTTAGCTACGAGCCCATCAGGCCAGCCCGGCTTGGCAGAGTTCAAGAGGGGGTGCGGCCTTGTGCAGGGGCATTTATAGAGGAAGGTGGCTGGTGATTGGAGCAAATTATTTTGATCTCTCTGGCGTGTGACCTGGGGGTCACGAGTGATATCCCACTAGCGAAGTCCTAAGGGACTACGCACCTATTCGTAGAACTTAAGTTACATTAGGTAACTATTAATTCTGTCTGGAGGGGCCTACGGGAGATCACCAACTACAAACCCAAAGCCCCCCCCTGTGCTGACGACCACAAGCTAGCTGACGAACTGAACTTATTTTTCAGTCACTTTGATGCTGCCCCTGACACCTCTCCCTCCCCCACCCCCCACTACTCTAACGACCCACCCATCAGCCCTGCCCCCAAGTAAATAAGTAATGTTTATTTATATACCGCCTTTCACAGACAAGGGTAACAAAGCGGTTTACAATTGTTATTATTTTTTTGGGCATTTGTCCTCTCACTCCACACAGAAGTTGTTTAATCTAAAGAGATTAAACAACTCTTCTTGAGGCTGCACCCCCGCAAAGCTCCTGGCCCGGACCACGTGTCTCCGGCCACTCTGAGACACTGCGCCAGTGAGCTTACTCCTGTGTTCAGTGACATTTTCAACTCCTCTCTGCAGTCCTGCCATGTCCCGGCCTGCTTCAAATCCTCCATCATTGTCCCCGTCCCGAAGAAGCCCAGGATCACAGGACTCAACGACTACAGACCTGTAGCACTTACGTCTGTCGTCATGAAGTCATGAAGTCATTTGAACGCCTGGTTCTCTCCCCTCTCAAGTCCCTCACCTCCCCCCTCCTGGACTCCCTGCAGTTCGCCTACAGAGCCAACAGATCTGTAGACGACGCCATTAACCTGGCCCTCCACCACATCCTACAGCACCTGGGCTCCCCGGGGACCTACGCCAGGGTCCTGTTCGTGGACTTCAGCTCTGCCTTCAACACAATCCTGCCATCCCTGCTCCAGGACAAGCGCTCCCAGCTCAACGTGCCCGATTCCACCTGCAGGTGGATCACTGACTTCCTGACAGACAGGAAGCAGCAAGTGCGTCTGGGGAAGAATGTCTCGGATTATAAATACAGGAGCCCCACAGGGCTGTGTTCTCTCTCCCCTGCTCTTCTCCCTGTACACCAACCGCTGCACCTCCAGCCACGACTCTGTGAAGCTGATCAAGTTCGCGGACGACACCACCCTCATTGGACTCATCTCCAACAACGATGAGTCCGCCTACAGGAGGGAGGTGGACCGGCTGGTGTCCTGGTGCAGTGGTAACAACCTGGAGCTGAACGCCCAGAAGACAGTGGAGATGATTGTGGACTTCAGGAAGAGCACTGTCCCCCCGCCCCCACCCTCCGTGATGGACTCCCCCTTCACCTCTGTGGAGTCCTTCCGTTTCCTGGGCACCACCATCACCCAGGACCTCAAGTGGGAGCCGACCATCAGCTCCCTCATTAAGAAGGCCCAGCAGAGGATGTACTTCCTGCGGCAGTTCAGGAAAGCCAAGCTGCCTGCACAGATGTTGGTGCAGTTTTACACGGCCATCATCGAGTCCATCCTCACCTCCTCCATCACCGTGTGGTTCGCTGGAGCCACAGTCAGGGACAAACAGAGACTACAGCGCATTGTGCGCTCTGCAGAGGAAGTGATCGGCCGCAGCCTTCCATCGCTGCAGGACCTATACGTCGCCCGAGCTCGAGGCCGGGCTGGTCGTATCACAGCCGACCCCTCTCACCCTGCACATGGACTATTCCAACCACTCCCATCAGGACTAGAACCTCCCGCCACAAGAACAGTTTCTTTCCCTCTGCTGTTGGACTCTTGAACACTTCTTAACCTGTCCCCCCGCCCTTTATAAAGTCACTTTACTGCCCATCATACGTCACTTTACTTCACTGTACTGCTGTCACCTTACATTGTGTGCACCATGTGCACTTGTATATTGTAAATATAAACTGTAACTCTATTTTAAATTTAAATTTATTCTTTAGAAGTGTTTTTTATTCTTATTTTTATTATCTCTTTCTGACTGTTGCACTGAGCCAAAGCAATTTCCAAGTCTGTGACCTCCTGTTACTTACGTGGCAATAAAAATGATTCTGATTCTGATTTTACACTACACCAGTTTTGATTACACATTAATAGTAAAAATCTATTTAAAAAATAATCAATGATGTTAATTAAATCATAGCTAATATTGTTAATCAATCATAACTAATATTGTTAATAAATCAAAACTAATAATGTTTATACATCATAACTAAGGGTGTTAATTAAATCATAACTAATAGTGTTAATTAAATCCAAACTACAATGCTAGTGATGCACTTAAATCCAAATTAATAATGTTAATTAAATCAAACATAACATTTTCAATAACCATTTAACAGCATTCAGTAATCACGCAGACCTGTAGCATTTAAATAACAATTTTACATCTGATATAAGGGACCATAGAGGTTGCAGCTAACAACAAAGTTATTTCACAATTAATTGACTGAGTTTTATGGAAAAGTTTGCCATAACTGTATCAATTAAATCCAACACCTTATTTCTTAGAGTATACTACGGAAGCCTTTGATAGAAAATATGTGTCTTTGACAACGCTCCTCAACTCTCAGTCATTCACCAGACTGCCAAGGAAAGAATACTTTAGTTTGATAAACATTGTTGGGAACGTCACTTAGTTAGAGTGACTAGTTACTTGTCCCAAAAAGTAAGTGAGTTACTCTCTGAGTTACTCCACAATAAAAGTAACTATTGCGTTACTTTTTAGTTTAGTTCTGGAACATAATGTGCACTCGACGTGCACATTTTTACCCTTAACCTCAGTGAGTTTGAATTAGTGCCAATATTTCCTTCTGGAAAAGGCTGTTTTGTTGCTGGAGTCCTCCTCACTCCCCATCTTTCTCTGTGTGCTGCATGGATCTAGCACTGTGAATGCGGAAACACCCACCAGTGACGTGTGGTGAGGTTATAGTGTTTGGTGAGGCACTGACTTTCACCCCAATCTGATGTACATACTGTATACAGCATATTATATAAATCAACAGGATCTACAGAGCGGCTTATTCAAAAAAAATTTGGCTACAGCAAAATATGTGTCATGCCTGCATTTTCTACTCATACGAAACACAAAAGTATGAAAAAGATATGTAATCCTCCATTTGGAAATAAGTCCAATGAGTTTTAAAAAGTAAAACAAAACGCGTGTCTCCTCCATAAACTCCTCCGGTGATTCGCTAGCCGAATCTCGGGTGCATCTAATTTCTAAAATCAACCTTCTTACCCTTCACCTCTCTTTCTAATCATTCCTATTGTCATTGAAACATTATCTTGAGTGCATTTAAATTAT